CTTCATGGAGATTTACAAGAGGACGTGTATATGAAAGTTCAATTATGAACGGAATTACAAGACAAGAGAATGGTGTTAAACTGAAAAAGTTGTTGTATGGGTTAAAGCAAGCTAGTAGGCAATGGTTTGCCAAACTATCTAGCTCATTACTGAAGAATGGATTTTCTCAAGTAGCTTCAGATTATTCCATGTTTGTCAAAAGAACACAAGATAGAATTCTTGCGGTTTTAGTATATGTTGATGACATATTGATTGATGGAAGTTCATTGGAGATATTATAAAGTCAATACTTGGGTACCTTGAAGTACTTTCTTGGGTAATGTCTATTTTTTATCCAAGCCTTTTTCAAATTCTTTTATATTATTCAAACCTATCAAAATACTAAGAATTAGCCAAATGTTCACTTGGCAACATGTTACTAACTTGGAAGAGACACATGAAGGTCAACAATGCAAAATTTTAGTATTTTAACTAAGAAAAGAGTTACAAAAATTTTAACTATAACGTAAAAATGGCTAATATTTTGATGCATTACGAAAGATTTGGCTAATTAATAGCATTTTAATAGGTTTGGATAATATAAAAGAATCTGGAAAAATTTTGGATAAAAAATAAACATTACCCTACTTTCTTCAAATGGAGGTTTATAGGGATCATAATGGAATACAAGTGACTCAAGGAAAATATTGTATGGAATTGTTGAGGGCCCCGACCAGTTGGCCGGAGGAAGGTGAGGTATGAAATTTGATAATGTAATGAGGTGTATAGCTTATTGTTGTATAGTTTTTTTTGGGAAACACATGATAAAAATAGTGAATTTTAGCAGGAAAGAGACATTAATGATGCAACGAATCAAAAATCAACCTTATGAACCAAAATCAAGTATCTGTTACCTTGTGAAACAATATTGTTTCTGGTAATACGATGAGGTAGAGTAAGTTTTATAGAATCAGAATTCCAGAAAATCGAATAAAAAATCGCCTATCCCGCCGGTTTTCAGGAAATGAGCATCTCACAATCGTTGCTAGCTTTTACTCGACCCGTTGGCCGATTAATTTTCTTTATAAAACTTTCATCTTGTCGTCATTGTGCTTTCTGGTTTTTGTCAGGTCATGATAAAATCTAAGGAAATCAAGAACGAACAACACGATTTGGGATAAGAACCGCCATTGTCGTATCCCTAGAAAATGGTGGTAAACACGGACTCACCTGCCAAACTGGTTTGGATTGAGATTTTTATCGGGTATCAGGGAACCATGTGATTATAAATTAGACTTGATCAAAACCGGCCAAAACTTGAAATTCAGCATGTTTGACCGACCCGTGCCAAATTCTAATTATTCTTTACTTTTAAAATTTCTATTTGAAAATAAAAAATAGTGAAAGAAAAGAGATGACTGCAATTCGCCATTCACACATCACTTATTCGGGAATAAAACCATAGAAATTCAAAAGGAACTGAAAATGTTTAGAATCATTTTAATGTTTAAAATAACCAAATAGATCTTTCTGTTTAGTTTTTTACTAACAAATACCAAACAATTCCCTATAAAATACACTATAATTTGATCATTATGATATCAAATAATTATATAATATGTATTTGAAATTATAAAAATTTGACTAATTGGGTTGGTCGAGGTTGAACCATTGAAAAACTTTAAAATACATTATATTTTAGCCACTAAGATATAAAATAATAGCATAATATATATTATGCCAGAGATAATAGCTTGTTTTAGAATGACAAACCAATGATGTTCATTTGTTTTACTTGATGGCCAAATCCTGTGTAGGTCAGGCCCATTCAAATCTTTTATTCTATGGTTAGCAGTTAGCCCATTAGATACCATGCATTAGTTTATTGTAATTTTTTTTATTTTTTAGCAATAAAAAGGAGTATTGTTTTTTCCTTTTCATATATATTTTATCACCACGGAGAAATAAAAGGGCTTAAATAAAAAAATTGACACTCCTGGACCCGTTTAAATCCTCATGTGTATGGTAAGTTGGCCCGTTCCACAAAGGAAAGAGAAAAAAATTGACACTCCCTGTTCTACCCTTCCTACAAAATCGTTAGACTAACCGAGCTATGATATATGAGCATAGTAGATCATGTCTCATACTTATGCTCATATTCATTCGCTCTGAGTATTATCTCTCTTATAGATTTACAAATTACCACCGACATTTTATAAACCTGTCGTTTAAGCCTTTAAGATTTAACACGACTCTATTCTACCACCTCGAATATAGTCGAGCAATTAACGGAAACATACAACACATCATGATGATATATATAAGTGGATGCATGCATCCGCTGAGCCGATCCGTAGCAAACTGAAAAAATCATTGGGCCCTTTCCTCTTCTCTCCAATGAATGGGTTTGGGGTTTAAAATATTAGATTAGATTAGATACTAAACACCCAGTAGCCAAGTCTCTTTTAATCACCTTCCCATCTCCTAAACCGATGACGTTGTCGTTAATTAAACAAAACAATGCGTGTTCCTCTTTTGAGCCGGCCATTTCAACTGCTTTGTTTAAACCAACAAATCAATTAAAGAAATGAGAGACAGGGTCCCGACAACTAAATTGGTCAACTCATCCACACAATTACCCATTATTCTACTTCTCCCCCAACCCTTTCCTGTCACCTTAATAAATATTTCTCGACATTGTTCGGCAAATCCTAAGCTTCAAATTGACTTCCTAAACTCTCTCAACTCCATCACTTACTTAACAAATATTATTATTAACTCGGCCGGACATCCAACTTCTTAAAATAATCATAATAATTATAATATTTAATTCACTATTTTTAATTGTGGATCCTACCAAAATCACAATTTCTCAAATGCTTCGGATTTTCAATGCGTTTTTTAATAAAAGAAGATCCACAACTTGTTCAAGATAGCCACAAAATGTCAACCCTCAAAATCAACAACTATAATTTTCTTTCTTTGCTTTCACTTTAGCATAGCATAGGGTAAACACTCTCAAGCCTATCTTATTAACCCTTGTTTAAGGAGTAAGTACAAACAAGTACTTAAAAGTTGATAAACTTATCAAAATTCACTTACGTAACCATAATTATCGACTTTGTGATAATAATAATAATAATAGCCATGTCCAGGTTTTGGTAATATGTTTGACAAATTTAGGCACTTTCGTTAACAACTTTAACGTCGTTAGAGATCCTATCAGTTAAATAAACAAGACGCTGATGAGAATGCCACCTTGACACACACGTCAACGACAACTCGACATGCCATGGCACGTGACGTCACATCATACTTTAATGACTAAATACACCTATGTAGTCATAACTATCGACTTTGTGACATTAATAGCCAATTTTTCGCAAATACAAAAAATGTCAAATTTCGTCCAAAACTTTAACTGAGTCATTTTGGATGCTGATTGGACCGGTGCTTTTGATGACTTGGCGACACTTAATTAAAAACAGTGTCATGTGGAATTAATTAAAGGTACATATAAATAAAATAAAACGGAAGGGCCATCCACCTGACCACCTCCAATTTGCCACAACCCCTTCCATTTCCTCTTCTGCCAATGGCCTGCCTCAACCCCTTTTCACTTTCGCCCAGCATAGTTTACTAGTGGCTCCAACCAGGTCTTCCTCTACCCCTAATCACATTAGTCATGAATCAACAATGGTTGGGTGACTTGAGGATATGTATTTTTTTGTAAAAAGGAATTTATAAAAATATTTTCAATTAAAATATTATATGGCATCAATGTGGCATGACATGTCGAGTTGTCACTGATGTGTGCGTCAAGGGATCATCCTCATAAGCGTTTTTTAAAAGTAACTGACGAAATCTCTAGCGTTAAAATTTTAAGAAAAGTGGGTAAAACCGTTAGTCCAGTCATCATCTAAAAGTGCTCCGTTAAAATTTTGGACGAAATTAGACATTTTGTGTATTTTTGAGAAATTGTCTACTATCGTCTCAAAGTCCGTAGTAATTGTTATACATGTGTATTTTGCCATCACATAAACATTATGTAGGGGAGGAGAAATGCGTTTGGACACCTATTTTTGTTTTGCGATACAACTCCAAAATTAGGGATACTACATGGCTAAGGCCTAAGGGTGGGAACAGGACCATGTACCCCTACCTCTATGTTGCAAGCTTTTTGAGAGAACTTCTACATTGCAAGCTTGTGTATCTACAAACATTAACATAGAAGTTATTTGGTTGGCCGAAACGAGCTTCAACTATGGATAACAATTTTGCTAAAATAACCCAAGGAGATACAAGTTTGATAACATGTCTGTAGCGAAAAGGATAAACTTGATGTAAAGATTGTGGAGTCATATGTTTGAGAGTCTACATCAAATAGAACTCATTGTGCTCCAATTCCACAAATGCCTAACAATGTGGGTGGATGTGCAACTATCAACAATTAGAACCCATATGTTTAACAAAAGGTTAATTTAATGTATTTATCTTCAAAATACCAAACCCATCTTAGATGAAATCATGACACACTGATTACATTTAATTGTATACGCATCTGTTAAAGTACAAACCTTAACAACACTTCAAGACCATCCACACCCATGAAACACCATTTCTATTTAATATGTGGCCCCTACTGCCACCTCAGCAGCTTTTTTCATTCCATTTACATATCACTTCCCTTCTCTCTACATCCATGAAATCCACTATCTATTTCATATGGTGGGTCCAACTTACTTTTTAATATACTACACTACACTCTTTTCAATTTAAATAAAGAAAACAAAAATGATAAAGAAAAAAAAAAGAGCAAAAGATGGGAAGGGGGCTCATTCTTCTGCCACATGCTATTTCATATGGGATTTCACAAAGTGGAAGATCCCACTTTCTGAAATAGATCCCACATCCATGACCTATCCCACTTTCATGCCATGTCACCTATGAAATAGGTAAAAGACAGCCGATGCAGATGGTCTAACAATAACGGCAGCACAAATGCACATTGGAAAGAACAATCAAGCTGTTGGTTTTCATTGAGAACAAATTTTCATACCAAAACAGAGCATTTTGATTTAATGTTCGGATTTTGCTTGGCCCTAATACCGATATACATCATATAGTAGTGCTGTACAATATGCATCTTAAGAGAGTTCCTCTAATCTCTAAACACAAAAACGAAAAACAAAAAACAAAAAACAAAAACAAAAGACAAAAGACAAAACAAAACAGAAGACAAAAGGACTTGTCCTTCTAGGTCTACTAATCTCACGAGCTACTACCAATGTCTTTGCCACCAAATTCTCCAGCACCAAAAGAAGCAGCTACATCAAGCCCCCCGCCGATCGATGTAATCAGAGCCGAGAGCCCGCCGCTACTCGGGCCAGCTCCGACAGCCGCCATTCCTAGTCCGAGGAAGTCGAGTGTGGCATGTTTAGGACCAAACACAGAAGAAGAAGTACTTCCCATCATCAACTCCTTCAAGCCCGACCCTCCATCACAAGGCAGCAATCCAAGTCCAAGCCCTGGATGATGATGATGATGATGATGAATAACAGAAGAATTCTCTGCCTCCATGTGTCTCTGAGCCCAACCATCAAGCTGTGCTGAAGAAGAAGACGACAACGAAGAGGACGAGACTATCCCTAATCCCCGGAGTAACGATGCATTGGTAGCAGAAGATCCCATTTGGGCGGCTTTCTGAAGCAATGCGGTGGCTGACATGGAAGGTGGTTGCGGTGGTGGTGGTGGTGGTGGTGGTGGAGCATAGTGTCGTCGCTCCTGCCCGAATATCGACGAGCCATTGCTTGTGGAGAGACAGAGTGAGATAGGTTCGATTGGTGGTGGAGCGAGCTCGACAGTGGTGTGACTGTGATCAGGGTGTGACGCCATTGCTCGAATCAAGTCAGAGAACGAGTGAGTCTCCTGCTGCGGCGGAGGTGGATGGAGGGTTTCTGATGCAGTTGTCGAGGAGGCGAACAGACTGGCGAAGACAGTGCTAGTAGTGCTGCCATTGCTGCTCGAGCTGGTGCTGCTGCTGCTGCTGCAGCTAGCATTCACAGTTGCAGCCCGAGCTACTGGTTGTTCCATGATTGGCGCTGGCGAGGGATCTTGAGTTTTTGGCAACTCTGCATTTCCATAAATCCACCGGGATCTTAGTAAAACAGAGAGATGCAGAAAAAGGACAAGACTTTCCAACATCTATTGGATCAAGATTTCAGATTCAGAAGAAAGCTCCCAGTTGAAACGATTTTTGTTTTGGCAGAAACGGACAAAATAACTACTACTGCTAGACTCCAAAGATCTCTACTAGAAAGTGAAAGGAGGGGAAGACAAAAACAAAACAGCCTGGAAAAGATTTGGTCTTTATAATTAAGGACAAAAAACGCAACCGACAAAAATCAAACGGAAATTTGAAGAAGTTTCTGAATTTGGGGGTTACTTAGTCAGCTCTTTCTACCTGGACTGTGAACCGGAGACACCGAAGATGATGGAGCAGAAGGCGGCGCCGTTGCCGGAGCTGAATCAACATGCGGGTCGGCTCCCGGGCTCCGATTCGAAGGCGGAGGTGGAGTTGGGTTATGGGGATGAGCTCTGGCACTTTCCTCTGCCAAAGCGTCGCAAAATGCTCGGTGGGTAATGAAGCTATCCCTCCTTCAAACCCATTAGCAACAATTTCAGTAACAAAATGTGAAAACAGATAAGAGCAATTCGTCGAAAACGCGTAAGATGGGAAACCTGGAAAACAGAGTCCCGCAATCGCATTTGTACTCTCGGGTGCCGCAAATCTTGGAGTGAGCCTTCCAATCGGACTGAACGGCGTACTTCTTTGAACACTTATCGCACTTCCACTTCTTCTCGCCGTGCTTCCTGCAGAAATGCTTCTTAATCCCGGTGAGATCGCCCAGCGCCCGCGACGGATCGTGGTGGACGCAGCTCGCTTCGGGGCAAACGTAGACTCTCTTCTTCACTTCGTTCCCCGATCTCTGCCTCAGCTTCCACGGCAGATTATGGCCTCGCCGGTGGAGCTGCAGGTTCTGGTCCCTCTGAAACCCTTTGTTGCAGATTTCACAGACAAATCGGTTCGTCGCCATTAGAGTCTTCGGTGACAGAGCAATAACTTCAGCATCTGGATCTGCAGAGAAAGAAAGAAAAAACCCCAAAATCCGATTACTTACAGGAGAATCTCATTCTCACCCCGGAAATTTCATAATCGATTTGGTCTGATTGACATACCTGGCATGCCGGGGAGGTTCCGCTTCTTCTTGGGGGTGGCGGCGGTGGACTGCTGCTGTTGAGAGGGGTTGTTTCCGCCGGAGGAAGAGCCGCTGACTTCCCCTGAAGCAGTGGAGGAGTTATCCAAATCGACCGGCATGGCGATAAGTATAGATTGAAGAGGCGAGTAGGGGAAACTGGGAAAAGGGGAAAAGATGGAAGCTTTACTAATAATAAACAACAAAGAAAAGGGATTATGGGTTGGGATCAAAGATAGAACAGGGGATGGGAGAAGGGGGTGAAAAGGGAGGAAAATCTCCGATGAGAGCAACTTCGTGGGAAAAGAATTATTTCGGGAAATTCCCAAAGGAACTTTCTGGCTGATGGGTTTTGGCTTCTTTCTTCCCCAATTTTCTTCTTGCCTGCCCACTTCTTTTCCTTCTAGGGTTTCGTGTTCTTCGCTTTGCTTTCTCTCACTAACTCTCCCTGATTTCTCTCTCTGAGCTACCAGTCAATGAATCTGCCTTTTCGACATTCTTCTTATCTAATAAGTTTCCTCTTTTTTTCTTTTCCCACCTCCTTTTTACCTATTTTCAACTCACCTACCGTCTGCCCGCACATTAACCAAAGAAACCTCAATGATTAAACCCAATCTCAGAGCCAGCAAGAAAAACAGAGAGACCACACTCAGAGAGAGAGCTATCACTGTGCTCAAGAAAGCGAGCGAACCCCAAACTCCGATCAACGGCGGCAGGGAAACCGGAAAATTTTAAAAAACAGAGAGGTCCAGGTACAAATGTCGATGATGATTCAACTAGAAACCCAGAGTTCAGATTAGCCACTGAGAGTCATTGTACTGGTAATGAAGGTGAATTAGTGTTAAGTAATAAGTTGTCATTCAACTGCTGGCTTGTTGTCGACGCCTCCCACTGTTTCCAAATCATGCTTTCTAATTCTCATTTTTAGTCAACATTACAATGGCATATATATCTATCTGTACAGGGTCGGCTTTGGGTGTGGTCGGAGACCCTATGCACAGGCCTTCAAATTATGGGAGTTTTCTAGGCTTTCATCATTTCCAAAATTAGTACACGGTGATTCACAAGTCAGAATGACTTTGAAGAAATAGTCTACCACTCTTCATTAAGCGATAGATTACTTTCCAAGAATATGATATACCTCTTCTACTAAGCGGTCGATAATTTTTCAAGAAAATGATCTATCGTTTCTATCAAGTGATACACTGCTTCCAACAACCGATCAATATGATAAACCATTGCTAATGACATCATCAAACATAACTAGAGGATTACAATATTGATAAATGTGTTTGTTGGTAAGAGAGTTGAAATTAGTACAAAGACTGAAGCATAGATGAGAAGTTTCTTAGGTGATTGTTTCTCAAAGATTTGGAAAATATTATGCATATTTGTTTCTTAGATTTGACTTACTCTATAGAGATTTTCATCTTTTCTTCAAATTCTAAGTTTGCTTGTTTTGATTCTATAATACTGATGGCAATGGGGCGAGGCGGATACCTCGATATCCATGTCCCGCCCCACGGTACTGCAGGTCGGGGAGGGTAATACTCCCGCTGGTACAGGGCGAGGCAGGTCGACCCACTCTTATATATTCTTTGGAAGAAAAAAAATACACGCGAAATTTTTACTTTTTACGACGAAACAAAGAGAAAAATACTTTATGGGTGAAATAATGATAATAGAATGGGTAACTAAGTCTAACTTAGGATACCGATTTGTGGAACGGGAGTGAGAGCGCGAGAGCGTATATTTTGAGAGATTGATATAGCTAAAGCCCCGAGAGAGCGTAATATTATATTGTTTATTAAAATAATACTTCATACACTATCATATTTTTAAAAAGTATTATCACACCTCTAAGATAAATTTTATTAGAAAAATACAATTCAACAAATACACCTATGTCAAAAAAGAAATGTGAAAAGAACACTAATTTCAATCAACTAGTAATAGGCCCGGCCAGTTGGCCGGATTCGATTGTCAATCACGTAAATAGTCGCAGCAATTTGTATTCGAGTTTCAAATTAGTATAATAAATTCTATGTTTTTCAAATACTCTAAATATATGAATCGATTGGGAGAACAAGAGAATTCAAATTACTAAAATAGTTCAACAATTCAAAAGGATAAATATTGTACTGTTTTCCAACATATTAATCACTAATAGACTAAATTTTTTTTACAAAAATGAAAGAAAACCCCATACAAAGGAATCGACTCCTAAAGACTAATTAAAATAACCCTTCTAATTACTTCTCATCGTCGGAGATTAGTGCACATTTTATTTTTGGCTTGTTTGAATTTCCTCCGACATGAGCAACAAACTCATCGTTACCATTTAAAAATGTCTTCATCTCCATTAGCGTTACATTTATCCCCAATATCAATTAACTCTCCTTTTTTCTCTTACATTTCAGTTATCTCTTCCTTATTTTCCTGCATTTGATTGAGCACAAACATTTGATGGTAAAACATATTTTCAAATATAAATCATCTTTTTCATTGGAATAGAATTTACCTTGTCCAATTTACGGATGATATCTAGGTTTTGTTCTTTCTCCCTGGTTTTGGTGTTCTCCATTACCACTTGGTTTAGATGACAAAGATGACATTGCTCGTTAATATATTTGAATAAATACTTGATAGCTCTAAACAAATAATAAATTGAATATACGACTAAAAACATTCAAATAATTAACTAATAAATTGAAAAATCTACCGAAATATATCCAAAAAAATTGGATTTTTGGTGGTACTTGGTGTTAATAAAAATATGTAAAAATATCATCAATATTAAACACACGCCTCACACCAATTTCACAAACCTATTTCCCTAACTAAACAATAATGAAATATTTTTTTTATAACCAAACAACCTCAAGCCCACGTGCCACCTGATGGCTTGGAGGATCGAACCTGAGAGCTGCCCCTCTCAAGTCGTCACTTTTCTCCGCACTCACACTAGTTGGGCTATGTGACCTTTGGCAACAATAATGAAATATTAATAGTTTAACTTTATTAGAAAGGATGTCATGTACCTAAAAGGATAATTAGAAAATTATATAAAATAAATAATTTGATTAATAATTAAAATCGATAGATAAAAAAGGAAACCAACCTTTTTAATAACTCTACCCCACCATTCTCCATTTTTACGACCCCAGTAATTTTTTCTACCCCTCCCCCCTAATTGCAAAATACTCATAACATACTCAAAGGCGATTTTCTGAGAGAGGCGATTCTTTGGCGAAATGCGAGAGCTAGGGCAAACCCCTTAGCTCTGTTCACGGTGGTCGAGAAGACTAAATGGCGAAGGGAATGGCGGTATGCATTGGTTGTACGTGGACTTGGTCGACGGGTGTTTTACCAACCGCTAGCTCGCATACTAAAATTTTTATGGGCAAGGAATAGGGGTGGGCATCGGTTCGGTTCGGTCGAAACCAAACCGAAAAGATGGATACCGGGTCGGCTGCTTCCTCAAATGGCCAGACCGAACTCGAACCGGAATATAATTCGGTTCGGTTCGACCGAACCGAATTATAGACCGGTTCGGTTCGGTTCGGTGGTCAACCCGAAAAGGACCTGCTGTATGTTTGGGAATGACCTGCTGCCTCATTTTTTTAGAGGAACTGCTGCCTCTTTTTTTTATGGCAGCTGCTGCCTCATTTTTTTAGAGGAACTTGAGACAACAAATAAGCACACAAAGTCTCAAACATCAATTGTCAACCATTCTAAAATTCAAGACAAGTACAAATACCAAAATCCACCATTCAAACATCAAAGTCTACCATATGAAAAGATAAATTACATCATACTTAAAAACATAAATTGAAACTCCAAAGTCCATTTATCATCTCTTGGTTCTTCATTGCTCCTTACTTCTTGTTTCTTCAATCTTGGACAATTGACTCCTTTGCTAGCCAAGGCCTAAGAATTATACATGAAAAAAATGGTTAGTGATGAATAAATATAGAGATAAATACAAATAGAATAAAACCATTGCTCTAAAAAGTTAAGATTACCTACTTGTGAGATCAATCATGCATGAAATCGGAACTATCACAAAAACCACTACTAGATCCATCGCCATCGGTACGACCATTTGTGGATCAGCATCATACTCAATCCCACAAATGTCGCACCTTGACTTCTTATTGCCGTCCTTGTCATTGAACTTTGAGAACTGCTTCCAACATGGAGCACGTGGCTCCATATCTTTCCTTTTTGAGGATCGAATATGTGTTGTAGAACGAACACCAGCAGGAGGAGCTGAAGGATCACCACCCCCTGGCTCGGGAACTTCATTCTCTGATGATTCTTGGTCCTAAATCATCCAAACACAAACATAAATCAAACCATTCTTCATTTTTGACCCCTGCTGTCTTTTTTCTATCTTTTTCCTCTTAATGCTATTAGCTAGCTATCTTTTTTCTATCAATTAACAAACATAAACATATATAAATCGAAGTCAATCAAACCATGCTTCAGACCTCAATAGTTCAATTAGGCCCCTGCTGTCTTTTTTCTTGGTTTTTTTTTATGCTAGCTAGCTTCATTTTACAGAATAGACATCAAAACTGGAAATAGATAGTTACCAAAACATGAACATCCTCGGTTGCAATATTTGGAATTGGACCGTCAGTGTGAGAAGAGCTGACAGGATTTTTTCGTTTGCTGGATTTTCGATTGGTGGTGCTCATGGCTTTCGATGGAGAGAGATGGGCAGATGGCGAGTGGCGACTGCCGTCGACGAGGGGCGACAATGGGGGCCCTGCGCCTGCACTGCTGGAAGCTGGATGGTGGTGGCTGACTGGCTGTCGTGCTCTGCTCTGCTACCCCCGGCGCCGGCGGTGACTCATGGTGCAGAGATGGAGGGCGGCGACTCTCGACTCTCGAGACTCGAGTTGTTGTTGGGAGGCAGGCGTGGCGGCGACTGGAAATCAGTGATGGGAGGGCGGCGGCGACTGAGGGTCGGGAGACGGAACAGAATGGAGTTTTGGCTGCTGGTCGCTGGAGGGTCGGGAGACGATCGATTCGAAGGAGACTGGCTGGCGGCTGCTGGAGGTGGAGGGCGAGACTCGAGAGGCAGAGAGGAGAGGCAGAGGCCGAGAGGGTTAGGGGTTGTTAGGGCTTGTTTCGGTTGGGATTGGGTCATTGGGAGGCTGGCTGCTGGGCTGGGTTTCTTCAATTGGGTTTGGGCTTGCAGCCCAGCCCTTGCCCCTTGGCCCATTACCACTTACTAGCTTATACAACATTTCGGTTTACGGTTCGGAATTCGGAATTCGGTTTCGGGCGGTACCACCATGTATTCCGAAGTAGAAGGATTTTGCATCCGAATTCCGATCCGAAATGAAGGAAATTCGGTTTCGGTCGGTTCGGGGTCGGTTCGGTTCGGAGAGTTAAAACCGGACCGAACGCCCACCCCTAGCAAGGAAGGGTGATTTGCATATCTCGCACGTAAAGAATGGGTGCTTCCTTGTCAGATTTAGGCATCAAGATTATTATAACACGGCTATCAATGGAGGGCCATGGCTGCTAAGGGACACATACCTCACAATAGTGCGTTGGTATAAGGGTTTTAATCCATGGACGATGGAGGTCAAATCTACTTTTGTATGGGTTCAACTACCAGATTTGCCTATTGAATTTATCAATAAAGAAGCAGCAAGGCGAATAGAGGCACTGATAGGGAAACCGGTCAAGGTGGATAGGGCGGTAGAAGAGGGAGCACGTGGAAATTGTGCTCATGTATGTGTTGAGGTGGATCTGACTAAACCATTCTTATCCAGATACAAAGTAGAAAGGATCAAATAATTTATTCAATATGAACGTCTAGAGAACATTTGTACGGAGTGTGGGAAGTATGGAAAGCCAACAGTTATGTGCACGTGCTAGGACCCTATGGTGGAACGGGAACATGAGTCAGTCTCTATTGTCCCTAAAACCCCTTGATAGACCAATAATTACAAATGTTTCTACCCCTATTCTTGAGCCGTTTGAGATGTCGATTCCCGCGTTTTAGGCCGATTTCACGCTAGGTTGTTCGTGTTTGTGATATTTCAGGTCCTAGCACATGAATGAAGGCCTGGGAACGAGTTCGGGGTCGATTGGACGAAGATTGGACGTTTGGCGAGAAGCTGGGAAGCCACGCGGGCACCATTTCACCTCACACGGCCGTGTAGGGGCCCCTTGTGGCCGTATGAAGGCTCGGTAAAAGCCACACGGGGAGCCTGGGGAGCCACACGGCCGTGTGGCCTCTGCCCGTGCAGCTTGCCTGGTTGCCCACTAATCGAAACGCCGCGTTTGGACACTCACACGGGCAGCTGGGAAAGTCACACGGCCGTGTGGCCTGGCCGTGTGAGTCGGGAATTTCTGGTTTTAAGCCAATTTCGAGCCAAAGGAGGGGGAGAGCTGAGTTTTGGTTCCCAAACACCTAAGGGACGAACCCTAGAGAGAGAGCGACTTGGGAACATTATTGGAGCTATTGTGGAGGATTTCTTCACCATTGGAGCTCGGGAATCAAGCTTGGAGATGGAGATTGAAGATCTAGATCAGATTTCTGCAGTCTCTCTCTTCTCTATGGAGTAACTTCCCTTCACTTAGGTTTTGAGGAACCCTAGTTCCATGTGTTAGGATCTTTCTTGTATGAAGTTTTGGATGCTATATTGTTTTATTATAATCGATTGAGGCATTATTTATTGAGTCAATAGAAGGCTGATCATCTTCTCTTGATTTCTGCTTTAACCTATGATAGATAGAATCTGATTAGGTTAAGAGAGCTTCCTTGATTGATAGTGGTGAATTGGTTGTGCGAGAGTCAATCAATTCACTGCTTTGTACTGGAATTCATTCCAGTAGTGGAGATCTGTGTGAATCGCCTTAGCAGTCTATCCCGGTGAAGGCTAGTTGCCTGCCGGGTATTCTGTCTAAGAGGGCTTGGTCAGCTTAAGAGATTCCAAGCTAATTTAGGATCTTCCGCAGTTTAATCAACAGTAGATCACCCAAAAGTAATTGCAACTTGGACCTAATTGAGGAGCTAGGGGGAATCATACCTAAGTGAGTTCCCAACTTGTAATTAGTAGAGTAGTTAGTAGAGTAGTTTAGTAAATCAATCCTTAATCTAGTTTGCTAGATAATGAACTGAAGCTGAGTAATAGTAACTCTAGAGACCCGTGGATTCGATATTTATTACTTGTGCCACTATACTACAGTCACTTTCATTGGTTACACTTGGCCATTGTCAGGAGTTGTGTCGTAGCGTGTCACCCCTCCTGAGGTTGTCGATGCAGCAGGCCAGACGGACCCGATCTACGACGAATGGATGATGGTAAAAATAAGGACAAAACGTCCAGTGCGATGTAGCCTGCATGGGGGGGGGGGGAGAGATATGGAGCATGGAACTAATGTGGGTGTGGGCCCCATAGCACAAAAATCGCTACTCGGCTCTGAATGGGCATAACAGTGATACTCAAGAAATGATAAATGATGATGTCAATATGACTACGAGAAAACCTAGTGATATGGCTCATACGGAGGCACAACTACCTGCTGGGAAGAAGAATGTGATGGGAAAAGATGGGAGGGGGAAACTTGGAGGATCTCGAACTCAGGCAGGGGGCAAAAGGTGGTACCAACTCATTCCAAAAATGTACAGGGAACATGAGAAGATAAGACTAGGGCAAAAGCTAAAGAGGGAACAAAGAAGGAGCCCCTAAGAGAACTAACAAGAAGGGACAGACAAGTGGAGTAGAAGGGAAAGAACGAGGCCGGAAGGAAGGGGTAACGATCGGGAACCCACAAAAACAAGCAGATGGTGCAGGGAACCTATCCCCTTTGGTCGATAGATGAGGCTAGTTATTTATAACTGTTGTGGCCTGGGAAACACACGGTCAGTTAGAGATTCGAAGTCGCTTCTCCGACAAGTTTCCCAGTATGTGATTTTCCTAATGGAGACAAGACAACAGGAGGATGAGAATGAGGTAACGAGAGAGAGCTTGGGTTTTAGAAAAGCCAAGAGCTGGCCGGCTGACAGCTTCCAATGGGGGTAAGGCGGGCGGTCTTTGTCTATGGTGGAAGGAAGAGGTGAATTTGATGGTGATGGATGGGTCGCTCCATTTTCTGGATGCAAAGATTGAGGAAGGTCGTGATACTATTTAGAGATTCACAGGTATATATGGGTGGCCAAACTCGAGACAGAAATTTCAGATGTAGGAACTGCTACAAAGGTTAGCGGACCAGTGGACATGACATTGGATACGCGGTGCCGACTTTAACCAAGTGCTATCAAATAATGAAAAGAAGGGTGGACATGACGCTAATGAAGCTGAGATGGCAGTGTTCGGTGACTGCCTTGTAGATATTGGATTGCATGATATGGGTTTCGAAGGGTATCCTTGTACTTGGGAAAACCGACGCAGAATTGATGGGTATATTGAGGAACGCCTAGATCGTTTTGTGGCCAATGACAACTGGAGGTATTTATTCAGAAATGCTAGGGTGTTGAATGGGAAGTCTGGAAGATCAGATCACATGCCGGTAATATGTGATACTCTTGGAGCGGAGGATGGGGAAGTGAAATGGGGCTGGTCATTCAGATTTGAAACATACTGGGCGAAGCATGGAGAGTGCCCAAGAGTTGTAGAGGACACATGGAATTTAAATGGAGGCAACGTTTTCACAAAGTTTGACACAAGTTAGAGACAAACTATTGGATTGGAGTTGCACTACGTTCCCAAACTTTGGGAAGCATAAACGCCGCATCAAGAAAGCCCTCGGGGCACTTGATACTGTCCCCAAAACAGAAATAGTACTTCAACAGTGGCGACAGTTACAGTCTGATATGGAGGAGCTCGAGTGTGATGAGGATTTGTTTTGGAAACAACGATCGAGGGCAGATTGGCTACTAGATGGGGATAAAGCACAAATTTTTTCCATAAGAAGACAACTGCGAGAAGGAGGCGAAATACGATTAACAATTACAGGATGAGTCTGGTTGATGGTATAGAGGTACAGAGGAAGCTTTTACTTGCATGCTTGACTATTTATGCAGTTTTTCCAGGCGGGAGAACGACCTACCCGCCCCGGTGCTAGACTCTGTGCGGTCTTAGGTTACGATGGAAATGAACCAAGATTTGTTGCACCCATTTTCGAGGGAGGAGATATATGGAGCTCTTCGCCAGATGGGGAAGAAGAAGGATCTTGGGGAGGACGGCTTATCGGTACTGTTCTTTGTGAAGTTCTGGCACATCGTGGGGGATGAGGTTATAAAGTTGATCATGGTGATTTTTGAACGGGAAAGTCTACCACCCAATCTCAATCATACATTAACAGTCCTAATTCCGAAAGTCAAAGACCCTACGATGGCTAAGGAATTTAGGCCTATTAGCCTATGTAATGTGCTTTAGAAAATCATAGCAAAGACTCTTGCAAACCGATTAAAGGGGTACTTGGATGGTGTTAACTCTCCAGAACAAAGTGATTTTATGTTGGGGAGCTATATTGCAGATAATATTATGACGGTCTTCGAGTGTTTCCACACCATGAAGATCAAATCCAAGAAAAAGAGAGGTTTCTTTGGCGCAAAAATAGATGTGGCAAAGGCTTACGACAGAGTTGAATGGTGGTTCCTGGAAGGGATAATGAGGGAGATGGGGTTTGGTGATAGGTGGATTCAATTGGTGATGATGTGTGTCACGACAGTCTCTTATTATGTTCTCGTGAATGGCCACAGGTGGCCTATTTTTACTCCGAATAGAGGATTACGGTAGGGAGATCCCCTTTCACCATACCTGTTCTTACTAGTGGCGGAAGGGCTCTCCTCCTTTACTGCGAGGCCTATCCAAGAAGGAAATTTACATGGTCTGCAGGTGGCCAGGGGTGCTCCGACAATATCACACCTATTTTTTGTTGATGATTCTATCTTTTTTGTCGAGGCCACACTAAACGAAATCATGAAATGAAGCTTATCCTAAAGGCGTATGAGCGCGAATCTGGGAAGCTAGTCAATTTCAACAAATCGGAGGTTTCGTTTGGTGAAAGCATCAAAATGCATCAACGGCTGTAGGTGGGCTCTGCTATAGGAATGAAGGTGGTGGCAAAGCATGACAAGTATCTTGGTTTGGCAACTGAAGCATGACGGTCTAAGAAAGAGCTCTTTGTGACCTTGGAGGAACGAGTTATAAAAGAAATTATCAGGATGGAAGGAAAAAACTATGTCCATTGCGGCATGTGAAGTACTCATAAAATTCGTGGCTCAAGCACAATTTAATTATGCGATGTCGGTGTTCAAAATTCCTAATAGGATCATTGACGGTATCCATAGTATTGTCATGCGGTTTTGGTCGGGACAACAGGATAATGAAAAGAGGATTTTGTGGATAGCGAGAGAGAAAATGCTAGCTTCTAAGGCGGAGGGAGGAATGGGGTATCGAGACTTGAGAGGCATGAACCTAGCTTTCCTAGCGCGACAATTGTGGAACCTCCATGAGCGCCCACAGTCCCTAATTGCCAAAGTTATGAAGGCTAAGTATCATAAACATGATCCGGTGTTGGAGGCGAAGGTGGGTCCTCGATCGAGTTTAGTATGGAGAAGTCTGATGAGTGCATAGGAATGGTTATACGATGGTTTGAGATGGCGGGTGGGGAATGGAGATAAAGTAGTTTGATCATGTAGAGTGATCAAACAATGGACTTTGGTCCTGAGTTCTAGAAATGTTTGATCTATTAATCAAGAGGCCATAATAAAATTGATAATTATCAGGGGGAAAACTCAACATTTCAAAACCAAATGCTTTATGCTGAGATTTACTTTTAAGCACTTTGAGCTAACAAAGATCTGAATGGCCGATGTGTGCTTGCGGTAGTGCGAAGGGAGTGTCATCAATGGAGCCTGGAGGTGGCAGAACTGCAGGCAATCCTATTTGCTCTAGAAATGGTGGAAATGAATGGATTGACTCCGGTGATTGTTGAATCAGATTGCTCGGAGGCGATTTCGAAACTAAGGGGGGTTTCCCAGTCTCACCTGGAGGTGGGCAGGCTTGCTGAAGAGATTAGAGAAGAGACTTCTCGGGTGGGTCAAGTGAGTTGGGCTTTTGCCAAGAGAGAATGCAACCAGATAGCCCACATGCTGGCCCATAAGCTTTGTAGTTGGGATACAAGGGAAGTCTGGCCAGATAGTCCACCTGCCTTTATTGTTCAGCTTCTTCAGTCTGAATGTACCCAAACTTTGAGTGATTAATAAGAATACATCCAGATGTTCTATAACAAAAAAAGATCTGAACAAATCCAAGACCAATGATCCTTCTTTAGAACTTCTTGAACCATGCATGTGGTGCTTGTTTTAAACCATACAAAGACATCTGGAGCAAACAAATATGATCTGAAGTACCTTCAGAGTATCTAGGAGGACGCTCCATGTAGACAAATTCTTTCAAATCCTCATGAATGAAAGCATTCTTCACATCCTAATTTTAGTCACATATCTACTCATGCAACCCATGTGGGTATCGATTATGCCATCATCACTCTAATACCCTAGATGCTATATCCACATATCCTAATTTTCTCAGATGAATGCTCCTACTTTCTACTCTACTGAATTTACCCTTGACAAATTTGCGCTTGATCAGGTGAAGATTGTTTATGAAGATGGAGACGAGCTGAAACCAATCTTGCAAATCACTGACGCGCTTCATACAGATGGTTGTTGGGACTGGAAAAATGCACTCATTGTCAAGCCATATGGGGCTCAGTTAGCAGGATGGAGGTCGTAGCTCTAGGCAATGGATATTCCGTCGCAAAGTTCGAAGATCCAAAAGATTTGACAAAGGTGTTAGTTGGGGACCCTTACATTGTTGTTGGAAACTTCTTAGCACTCATGATGTGGGAGCTAGGTTTCGGTCCCTTCGCAGATCGTGTATCTACCCTTCTTACTTGGGTTCGATTTAATCAACTGCCATGGAATATTATAGAGATGAGATTCTTTATAAGCTTGCTTCCTGCATAGGGCGTCAAGTCCGCATTTATCGTCAAACAACCCTAGCAACAACATGGCATTTTGCAAGAATCTATGTCGAACTTAATCTTAACAAACCTCTGGTTCCGAAGATATGGGTGGCTAATCATGGCGTCTAGAGGTGTATGAAGGGCTAACCGA